AAACCTTAACTTAATATGTAATTAAGATGTAAAAGCATAACTTATCTTACCTCAACAATATCAGGCTATCCATAGAAAAGTTGTCCACGGCGGTGTTTTTTTTTCTTCTGAACTGCTGTACATAATCGGTGAGTACAGCGTCATCTTTAAGGAGCTTGACAAGTGCTTTAAGTCTTATCTAACTTAAACTTCATCGTCGTGTCATCAGATAAATGTTTACTGCAAAGAATCAATACTAAACAGTTTCTTTCAGATTTTTTTCTTTTGACAGCCTTTTCCCAGGATTTCAACAGCTTTGGGCGAGTTAATAGAAATCTGAAATAGTTAAAAAATAGTTAAACTTAATTCACAGTACTTAACCTTTAGGCCTAGTTTCCATAAATCCACATACATTGTAGTTCAACACCTATACCTGGAAATGTAAATAATAGCATAATAGCTATGAAGGGTCTATGATTGATAAATAGAGCTGACGCTAATACTTGTCAGTATAGGTGCGAGTATGGGCTACTGTAGCAGCATGCTAGTAGGTATGATTACCAAAATAAAAATACAAGAATTTATTTTATTCAGTTAATTAATAGTTCAAATTAAAATGCACTTCTGATTTTAAACAGTAAGAAGTTACCTGAAGCCCTAATAACCAGTCTAGGCATAAAGCTGGGTTTTCCTAGGCGCGGAAGCGGAGAGAGGAACGCGGAGAGTGGAAAAGAGATTAACATGGTGTTCCGCTCTGTTTCTAGGAAAACAGTAGGCCTAACATTAAATTACCTAAGACAAGTGGAGTCCGTTTTCCGCGTTCCTCTCTCCGCTCTCCACTTCCGCGCCTAGGAAAACCCGGCTTAAGTTAGCGACAACATTTCTTGATACAGTAAGTAATTATTTAAAACTTACTTGTAAAAGTGGATCCCATTTCCTTTATTGTACTTAGGCTACGTTTCTTTGCATCCAAATTCAACATAATATCTAACCAAATTTGCTTAATTGACTCACACTCACATAATTAAGATAAACATAATAATTACAAGATATCTTGTCGTTCATTAAAGGTCAATTGTTTGGAGGACCCCTATCCAAATCATCTGGTCATCGGCAACGCAGTGGTAATTAAGGTAATTAAAACCTCACCCAGATAGTCTAAGTTAACCTTAATAGGTTAAGGCATCTTGGTGGGATTATAAGAATGAATGCCAACATTTCTAGTTAAAATTGTGGCTGTATTTTAGTCAATTTTAAGTTACAGTAGCCTACAATCCATAAGTAGATTAAAACAAATAAAGCTTTAACATTTGTATACAGAAACAAAATAACTAACTTAACCAGAGTTATTGAAATAATTATTTCACGTAGGTAAGTATTGAATGAATTTGATTAGTAAAGATGCATGCAAAGAGTAAAGTGTAGGTCCGTGAAGTTGGCGTACCCATATTAGCGTATCCACTTTTGATCATTCCAATCGTTAGTTCATCGTTAGTTCTCGATAGTTCCCAAATTTTGTCGTTAGTTCTCAAAAAATAAAAAAGTTATAGCCGATAATAAGTGGGTACCGGTACGCTAACTTCACACTTCCGGGTTCTAGCGCACGCCGTTTCCTGATGAGAAATGTTTACATCTATTTATCAATCGTTAGTTCTTCGTTAGTTCTCGATAGTTCTCCAATATTAACGTTAGTTCTCAAAAAATAAAAAAGTTACGAGGCATACAAAGTGGGTACGCCAACTTCACAATTATAGAATTTCCAGCGGGCACACTTTTTTGAATAAAAATGCTTATATCTATATACCAATCGTTAGTTCTTCGTTAGTTCTCCAATATTAACGTTAGTTCTCAAAAAATAAAAAAGTTACGAGGCATACAAAGTGGGTACGCCAACTTCACAATTATAGAATTTCCAGCGGGCACACTTTTTTGAATAAAAATGCTTATATCTATATACCAATCGTTAGTTCTTCGTTAGTTCTCGATAGTTCTCCAATATTAACGTTAGTTCTCAAAAAATAAAAAAGTTACGAGGCAAACAAAGTGGGTACGCCAACTTCACAATTATAGAATTTCCAGCGGGCACACTTTTTTGAATAAAAATGCTTACATCTATATACCAATCGTTAGTTCTTCGTTAGTTCTCGATAGTTCTCCAATATTAACGTTAGTTCTCAAAAAATAAAAAAGTTACGAGGCATACAAAGTGGGTACGCCAACTTCACAATTATAGAATTTCCAGCGGGCACACTTTTTTGAATAAAAATGCTTACATCTATATACCAATCGTTAGTTCTTCGTTAGTTCTCGATAGTTCTCCAATATTAACGTTAGTTCTCAAAAATAAAAAAAAGTTACGAGGCATACAAAGTGGGTACGCAAACTTTACAATCATACAATTTCCAGCGGGCACAGTTTTCTGACTATAAATGCTTATATCTATATACCAATCGTTAGTTCTTGATTTTTCTCAAAAACGTACGTTCAAAATTAAAAGTGTTAGGTTATTAATATATACCGAGAATAAATATTGTTATCTTATGATAAATTAGTTATAATAAAATATTAATTGAAATTTAGTTTAATGATTTGAAAAAAGGGGATTTTATTCAAGTTCCATGCCTAGCCGGCTCCAGACTGTACCCACGCAAAGTACAGAACAGCAACTCGCCGAATCGCGAGTAGTATGACAGCAAATGCTCGTGCTCGTGTTTTCCGTTCATTGCCGGTATTTTTGCACACATCAAAGTGAAGGAATATTTTTGCCATTCTCGAAACGAACAGTTGGTGGGAAAACAACACATGTGTGTAGACACATGTAGATATAGATATAAGCATTTATAGTCAGAAAACTGTGCCCGCTGGAAATTGTATGATTGTAAAGTTTGCGTACCCACTTTGTATGCCTCGTAACTTTTTTATTTTTTTAGAACTAACGTTAATATTGGAGAACTATCGAGAACTAACGAAGAACTAACGATTGGTATATAGATATAAGCATTTTTATTCAAAAAAGTGTGCCCGCTGGAAATTCTATAATTGTGAAGTTGGCGTACCCACTTTGTATGCCTCGTAACTTTTTTATTTTTTGAGAACTAACGTTAATATTGGAGAACTATCGAGAACTAACGATTGGTATATAGATATAAGCATTTTTATTCAAAAAAGTGTGCCCGCTGGAAATTCTATAATTGTGAAGTTGGCGTACCCACTTTGTATGCCTCGTAACTTTTTTATTTTTTGAGAACTAACGTTAATATTGGAGAACTATCGAGAACTAACGAAGAACTAACGATTGGTATATAGATATAAGCATTTTTATTCAAAAAAGTGTGCCCGCTGGAAATTCTATATTTGTGAAGTTGGCGTACCCACTTTGTATGCCTCGTAACTTTTTTATTTTTTGAGAACTAACGTTAATATTGGAGAACTATCGAGAACTAACGAAGAACTAACGATTGATATATATATGTAAACATTTCTCATCAGGAAACGGCGTGCGCTAGAACCCGGAAGTGTGAAGTTAGCGTACCCACTTATTATCGGCTATAACTTTTTTATTTTTTGAGAACTAACGACAAAATTTGGGAACTATCGAGAACTAACGATGAACTAACGATTGGAATGATCAAAAGTGGATACGCTAATATGGGTACGCCAACTTCACGGACCTGTAAAGTGTTACTGTTTTTTGACCACTCACCAGAAGGCCTGTTAAAAAGATGTGTTCTATGAGTTAATTTGAAGGTAAAATTTGTTAAATTTTAAAATATTACCTAACCAACACACTTAAGTTTCAGGCTGAAGCAAGCTTTTATCTAGGCCTTATTTTATTTTACATTCCAACACAGGGTATATAAAATAACATGTTAAAAATGGGTGACACAGTGCTGAGATTTTGTAGGCCAGTGACTATGGGTGGTGCCAGCATATTTTTTTTAATAATTCACATTTGAAATGTATCCAAATTAAAAAAAAAAATTAAGTACGGTATGTAAATATTTTAGAGTAGGCTATTGAGCTATGATTTTGGCCCAAGAGGTTGTGAAGGGAGCCTTGGCCTGTTATGACATTCTAGGATACCGGTACATAATTAAGTGAGATTATATGGACTATTTACAAGCGAATAAGTATAATCGAAAAATTCATAAGAAGATACGTAGAAATATGTGTTCTTTTCACTTTAATTTAAGTTATGAAAAATTTCCGGGGGAACCCTCCGACCCCCGGTATCCCATACCACCCCGGTAAGTCCGGCGCCTCTGTTGCCCAGTGGAAATCCCTTAAAATATGCTCTGTTTCCAACATACTATATGACTTACCTATCTTAACTTAACTTATTGTGTCAGTTTCATTCTTTTATATGACCAGCATACTTCTAATTTTATTTGTATTAACTTAAATAGGCTTCATCCTAATATAATTATCAATGGGGAATTGTATGTAAATAAATCCCCCTCCTCCCAAAACAATAATTGGAACCTAGAATAATAATTCTGGAGTAATAATATTTGGTTTTTTATATTTGAACTTCAGAAACCATAAGTAAAAGGCCTAAATTGGTTTTCTAAAAGACATAATAATTTGCGCAATTGATTTGGTATTTTTATTTTGCTGATTCAGTTAAGCTATTAATAGTTTGACTCTAATAGGGCAAAGCGTTTTCAACCTCACTTAATTATAAAATTGGGAATAACTAAATAAACTTAAGTTTATTGAAATTCCTCAATATAGATAAAAACATTAACCTGAGTAACCTCAATCAATTATTTCACCATTTGAGCGGCAGACGACACGACGACAGACGACAGCACTCCAATCCAATCCCAATGTTAGCTTATGCGAGTGCGATGCGATGCAATGCGATTACAGATACGACTTACAACATGTTCGATATTCTTCGACACACAACCGAATCATACGGTTGGTCTGTTGTGAACCCAGCACTATCCGTATTGATACGTGTGACTGTGATCGTCGTCTGCAAAGTGCAAGTCTGCATAATTGTTTGGTTTCTCTTACTGTTGTTGTCATTGTCAGATGTTGTCTCTCTGTCTGTCTGTCTGAGTCAAAACCAAAAGTGTTAATAAGGATGCCAATAATTGCTAATACCGTACTCAACTATTATTTTACTCTTTTAGATGTAATTGAATGAACATATTCATAAGTTTTCCCTTATGGAAATACCTAAATATAGCTTCTAACATGCATTTTCATTCGTAAAAGTGGAATAATGTTTTTTATATCAATGAAAATCCTTTTTGGAATCTTTGGTGGATATGTCGTAACATCATTGATTTTATTTAGGAGACCTACACTGCTTTATAAGAAAAAGAGACAATATTTCGTTTGTAGACACATTAGCCACAGAGGAGGTAAAGTAGCCTACTTTGTTATAAAATGTTAAGATACAAACTTACTTATAATGTATAACTTAATTCATTAATCTTAGATATCATAGGCTATGAATGCTATGCTTCCTGAGTAACTTGTTGCTATCTTTTATCTCAACTTCTTTTTTCAATCAAGTCTCAACAACAACAGCAACACATAAAGAGGTTTAATATTTTTCAAGCTGAATTGTGTGAAGTCTTGCCAACACAATATCTTTTCAAAGCCAACCCTAAACACTGAAGGGTGGGGATTGTGGATAAGTTTTATACCTTGTAGGCCTAGCTTATAAAAAAATTTGGTTATTGTTTACGCACCACACGTCACATATAACGTTGGTTGCACTTAAGTTTACGTCCTACATTTACTATTATAAATAGGCCTACATTATACATTAACTACCAGCTAATTATAAAATGAAACTGTTCTAAACTAAACCTAACTTTAATCAAACTGCAGTAATTTATGTGAGTAAATGTAGGACGTAAACTAAAGTGCAGCCATAACGTTCTAAAAACGCTTTTAAACTGTTCTTTGACAATAACACTACAACTTTGTTAAGTAGGTAACTTTTTGGGGGGAGAGGCTTCCTTTTATTACTAACTAGCAACAGAGCCCGTTGTGGTTAAATACAACGGTCTCTAGAAAAATAATGGTTGTGAACTCCATAGGCTACACCACTTTACCCACAAATATTAATGGTACCGATTATGCACATACCATTAGAATCACATACTTAATAAGGAACTCTCTTGAAACACAAATGCAAATTGGTAACAACAACATTATTAATCAAAGAAAAATCAATTAAATAACAATAAGCTCTTAAATAATTATTAACGCATGTTTCGTATGTTTAGATAATGTATACTAGTAAACCAATTATTGCCATCTAAAAAAATTATTGGTTTTTCTTTTCCGAGTCGGGTTAAAGGTCTTCTACCCGACCGATTTTCATAATTTTGGCCTTAAACTAAAGGTATGGACGCACCACAGATTTGCCATCAATCATCAGCATTCATTTTGACGTATATTTCGAGTTATGCATAAAATGCGTCCCTGTATATAAAGCTATGCAAGCACATATTTGTCATCAAGCATCATTATTAATTTATCTAATCTATAATATTAAAACGAAACAGTGTTTTTTTATTTCACGATTCTGAATCAACCACTCGACGGATTTACATGATTTTTGTGTTGAAAGAAAGATAATTTTAAGAACTAGGGAATGTCGAAGCCATAATTTTAGTTTTGGGTCCCAGTTTTTTAGAAATTAAGTTTTAATTTTTAAAAAGTCTAGCAGCCGACGCTAAGATTCTAAACTAGCTTTCGGCATAAAATAATTTGCTTAACATAACAGCTGTAAACATTCAGCTTTTGTGTCACAAATTCAGCATTTGGATAAAAATGTAAAGACATACTTAGCGTTGACTTATTTATACTATGTGTAATGCTAATCATTGATACGATCAATTCTTCTGTAAGAGGATGACAGATTAATTAAATATACATAGTAAAATACTAGGATGTTCAAAATATTTTTTAAAGCAATCTTTGTAATCTTCGATTTGTTTTAGAGCAATATAATTTGTTTTAACTAACAGCTGGTTAAATATAAGCTATGGAACTATGAGGTTATTTTATTTACTCTTATTTTGTCATTGATTATAGGAAATAAGTCAGATTAGTAGAGATAATTAGACCGCAGTTTAAAATAGTTTGGACCAAAATTAATTAAACCACAGTACAAATCAAGGCTCTGTACACGAGTCTCAATAAAAAAGGATAAATGCAAATTATTTTACTGCTCCACTTTTCAAGGAAAGAATAGAAAAATAACAATGTTTACATGTTTTATGAAATCGTGTTCAGTTGTGGTTACGTTTGGGGGTGCCTATATCAGCGCCCCCAAACGTGAAAATATCACTTTTATTTAAACTATCAATATATTGTAGTTTAAATTAACTAATATGGGAAATTACGATGTACTATTCAATGAGGGTGGGTAATTATCAAGGATAGAACGAACTGATAACGGTATGGATAATAAACATTGACAATTACGTCATTAGCTTTACTAGCGTGTTTACTTTTTATATTCCTGCTACATGTGACCAGTTCTTTTTTTCAAATGAATGTTATTTGAACCAAACAGCTGTTAAAAACAAATTGTTATTGTTTTTACTTTTCTTTGTTTGGACTTATTTATTTAGCAATTAATGCAGTGAAATTGATATAAAGGATAGGTGTGACGATTAGTTTTGATGTTAGGACACCAAAGTTAAATTATGTGTACTGTGAATTTTATTGGATATTATCGTTTTATTTTAGGTCGTTTCTATTCAGACCTACTGGAAATTGTGTATAGTAAGTTAGTTGTATTGTGGTGATAATAATTATGGAAGAGGCAGGTATGCTATGGAAGGTAGTATCGTTGTCTATACACTTCTCAATTGACTATTACCTTTGACTATTGGATACCTACAGAAGTTGTATAAGATAAAGAAGTGTTGTATTAATAGTCAAAGCTATTACTCTCTCTACTGTATGCTACTTATAATCAGTGTGCGTCTGTGCGAATCGGCTGAAAATCTCACTTTAACGCTTTTCACATCGTAAAAATTGCAGAATTGCTGTTTTATTGTAAAATTATCGGATTTAAAATGCATAAAAACATATTTGGTCGCACAACATTTGTTTAAAGATGATTTTTCACATTAAAACTGCAAGAAAATTTGTCTTTTTTAAACTAGCTGATCTGAATTGTACACGGTTTTAACCGACTACTGAATTCCCGTACGTAGGACGGGCTAACACCTCGTGTATTACTAAAAAAAAATATAAATTAAATTTTTTAGATTTTTTACTTCAATTAAAGATGTATTCCAGCAGTTATAATTACATTATCCTATATTTTTTGGTCTAAAAACCTTTAGTGAAATACCAGCTTTCTTTTGAGCTATTGATTATTAAGATTCCGATCTTAATAGTCCTACCTAAAGCACACTGCTGAATCACGAACCAACAATAATTATAATCGTTTTAGTACTAATCTGCAATCAATGACACGTAACTCAAATTGTATTTTAAGTTATTCTATATGTCTTGGTCTTTTAGCGAATTTCCCATATAGGGAATAAGCTATTACCGTAGTACTCATGGTAAGACCTGGACGCAGGACCGATTTTTTTTTCCCTTTTGAGGTCCCTAGAGGCCAAAAACACCATCCGTTCAAATTCATATATATATATATATATATATATATATATATATATATGTGTCCGTCAGCACGATAACTCGAGCAAAAATTATCCGATTTTGATGAAATTTGGTACAAACGTGTAAACGTACATTTATTCGAACGAGTTCGCGATCCAGCATGATTGGACCATGGGAACGGGGGTTTATGGGGGGTTTTATGGGGTAAAAATAGGTTTTTCCCATTTTTGACCCAAAAAACATCAAATTTAGCAATTTCTTTCCAAACTATTTTGTAGAGCTTAAAAAAACAAATAATTTAGTATATTGAAGCGTTATTATGCGCCTAATGGTTACGGAGAAAATTCCAAAAAATTGTAAATTTGAAATTCCCATGTTATTCTTATGGAGAATAAGTAAACTGTTGTAGTTTGCTTGTTTATAAACATATTTTGATCAAATTTGGAAAATGTTTTTTATTTCTTACTAACTATTCACATTTTACAAAAAAAAACAGTTTTACCCTCCCTGATGCAGCAAACCTAAGTACTTGTTAAACTAATTCTATTTAAATCGAGAATAAATGTTATATTTTTAAGTAGACATTTCAGTGTAAATCCAATCAGTCAAATGGAAATTCGCTTAGTCTGCAGGTTTGCTGCGGCGGGGGTATTTTACTTTAAAAGCTTTAACTTGAGATATTGATAGTTTTAATCAGTTAAGTTTAAGATATACTGTATCGCTCAATCAGAAAACATAAATTTGATTATATCTTGGATATGGAATTTAGTTTTAGAAATATTTACTCAATTCTAATAACTTCATTCTATTTATTTTGACCTAAGAACCTTCAGTGAAATACCAGCTTCCATTTGAATTATTGATTATTAAGATCCGACGTACCTAAAGCACACTGCTAAATCACGACCAACCCCATTAAAAAAAAAAAATTGAGTTATTTACCATCGATTTATAGTCAAACGGTCTTGCTTGCAACCTCAACAGCAACTGTCAGACTTTGACGGGTTTCACCTAGTAAATTTAAAAAAATTGAACTTTCATAATTATTTGCAAATCAACACAAATTAGGCTTTCCAATGACCTATTAATTAATAAAATCGGCTCAGTAGAACTGTAGATTTAATTGTACGAAGTTTAACAACAAAATTTTTGTTCAGTATTTTCTCACCATTATAAATTTGGAGGTTGTTTAACTTTTTTGCAAATAACTTTGAGATGGTGAGAAAGTGAAAGGTGATATTCTGATAGAGAAGAAAATTTCCTACAAATTACTATTACAGTAGAACCTCTTTAATCCGAACTAATTGGGACCAGGGGTAGTTCGGACTATTGAATAGTTCGGATTACAGAATATATTGTTGTTTTTACCTAACAATAGCTAGGGAAAAGTGAAAAATGCTTTATGAAGTAAAATACAGTGTTTATTTAATACAGTAGTAAACATAGGGAATACACAGTACTGTTCATAACAATTAAAATAATTACGGTGCGTATATCAATAAATACAGTATACAATAAAGATCTACTGTACTGTGTATAGAGTACAGCAATGAGGGGTTCGGATTAGTGGATGTTCGGATTAAAGAGGTTCTACTGTATGTATTTTTGGAAAATACTCAATAAAGGCAGCCTAAAGTTGGCTACAAATATAAACTTGGAAAAAAGGCATTTAAATGTAATATTGTTTAACCTAAAACATGTAATAAAATTAAACTTTCATAATTATTTGCAAATCTACACAAATTAGGCTTTCCAACGACCTATTAAGTAACAAAATCGGTCCAGTAGAAGTCTAGATTTAGTTGTACAAAGTTTAACAAAAATATATGTAGGCTAATTCAGTATTTTCTCACCACTATAAATTTGGAGATCACTTAGATTATTGCCAACTAGTTTACTCGTTGCTCGAAATCGAGCAATTGCCTAAAAACAAATAAAAGTCATCATAATTTCCGATGAGTTTCAAAGACTCAACTCATAGATTACGTACCTAACAGTTCCATATAATCAACATTTCTTGTAAATATTTAATCATTTTTCAGAAGCTGATCTGGTTTTTTTTATGTTTCCATCTTATAGCCGTATTAGGTTGTCCGTATTGATCATCGTCAATGATAATGTAGTCTGCATGGTACCACCCATTTTTGCCAGTACGTTTACAAATTTCAGTAAATTTTTTATAGCCTACCGATAACATTTTGTTTACATGACTAAGAACTACGGGATTTTCTGCGTAACCTCTCTGCCACAATTTTATTTGCATCAATTGGTATTCATTTGGCTAGTTACTGTTATATCGTAAATTATATTTACCTGAAAAAATGCAAAATTGAAAGGCCTAATGTCGTTCAGATGGGTTTTTGTTTCCCTTAAATGTGAATAATGCGAATCCCTCAATGAAAGTTTTTTTAAGGTTTCTTGGATGTAGTCACATTCTTTTAAAATCACATGACTTTTATGAAAACGTATATTTAATAATTAATGTCCTTGCCGTACCAGTTTAATTCAGACTTAGAGGGGTTTCCTTTGCCAATCATCATAAAGTTAAGTCCATGTTTCCTACAATCTTCATATTGTAGCTGTAGATGCTAACGATGGTAAATGTTTTTTTAATTTCAATTTTTTTCTACTTGGTGGCGTTCTATGACTTTTTCCATGATTTTTCAATGGTTAACAAATCGGTTCTTTCAACGATTTCTCAAAAAATACAGTACTATATCAATTCATTTTTCTTATTTGCTAAAACATATCAAATTGTCCAGGCTTACTCAATTTTTACAATGTAATATGTATGAATGTAAATTAAAATAGTTAATATTTAATTTCAACAAAATCAGTAAATGTACCCAATGCGTTTCATTGAATTGAAAAATAAATAACAGCAATTAAATTAAACAGCTGATCAAAATATAAACAATTAAGTTCTTCATAAAGATAACATGGGAACTTTAACAGCCACTGGGGCAGAGCCCAAGGGACTTTTTCAAAAATGTAAGGCCAGTTTGCAAATCTACTCGACACACTCTTTCCAATAAGACGTCAATGGATAAAATCGCTTAAGAAATGGAGGAGGAGTTCAACCAACAAAGTTTCATGTAGCGTATTAATTATATAGATAACTTTTAAATGGAGGGAAAATCGACCAAAGTGGATGTGATATTCTGAAAGAAAATAAAATTTACTACAACAAACAACCATGCATTTCTTGAAATGCTTAATAAAGGCAGCCAAAAGGTGGCTACAAATAGAAACTTGAAAACAGAAACTTGAGAAAAGCAGTTTTTAATGTATTTTTGTTATTTTTACTTTTTTACCACAAAGATTTAATAAAATCACACTTTCATAATTATTTGCAAATCTTCATGAGTTGGGCTTTCCAATGACCCATTAGTTAACAAAATCGGTCCAGTAGAAGTCTAGATTTGGTTGTACAAAGTTTAACAAAAATATCCCTAACTCAGGATTTTCTCATTACTATAAATTCGGAGGTTACTTAGCTTTTTTGCAAATAACTTTTAAATGGTGAGGAAATCGACTAAAGTGGATTGTGATATTCTGAAAGAGAATATAATTTCCTACAAATTGATACCATAGACTTCTTGAAAACACCCAAAAAAGGCAGCCAAAAGTCTCACCGAAATAAAAAGTGTGAAAACACAGTTTTCAATGTATTTCTTATGGAAAACATGTTTTTCTTAAATTTTTCACCATAAGTTAAATCATTTAACAAAAACAAACTTTCATAATTATTTGCAAATCTACACGAATTAGGCTTTCCAACGACCTATCAATTAATAAAATCGGTCCAGTAGAACTCTAGATTTAATTGTACAAAGATTTTTAAAACTGAATTATATATAGAATAGATTCGATATATCAGCAATAATTCCTACGTTCTAGAGGACCGGTGGGAATGCATCTGGGGTTTTGGGTGGGGGAGACATTAACGTGGTTAATCATTGAGAGGTAAGGGTAAATTAATTATGCAGGGGAAAAGGGTAATTTGACAGAGGAAATGGGTAATTAGCCAGGAGGAACGGGGTTTTACCCTTAAAAAGGGGAAATTAGCTTGAAATGGGGAAATTTAGTCACTGTCAGCCTTTACTTCCGTCGTGTGGTACTACTGTGACCCCAGGGTTGTTGGAGCTTTGCTTTTGGTCTGTGTTGGTGATGTCAGCCTTCGTCTTGAAGAGACCGGAAATGAGTTAGCGATTGCGAAGTCTCTGGAATCTGCGATATAGCCAACATATATATATTTTCACTTATTTAGGCGTGCTGGGAGGGAAGGTCAGGGGTTATGCAGATTCGTGGCGGCACTAAGTGTTTTTTGAAGGTAGTTTGGATTAGGAAGGTAAAGTTTAAGTTATAGTCTACCGGGTCGTTAATTATGTTTATCTATTTGGTTTTCAGCTATTGGAATGGATGCTTAAACGACGAGGTAACAATTTCAAAAATGAATGAATTGTTCTTTTAGACTAAAATTTAACTTGCAAAGTTCTTTAAAATCTTATGGCAACTTTTGGAATAGGCTATAGTAAACCACTAGGTCCATTTATCTAATCGTGGGCCCAGGACAATGACGGTTAACTGAATACACGCATAACCAACTTTTTGCTTTTAATGAGACAGTAGGTACATTTTTATTTAATTAATTTTCAGAACACTTTTGGCGCTGAAACAGCGTTATCAGTAAAATACAATAGCCATCCTAGCGTTTAAGAGGTATTTTAAAGTTTAAGAACATCACCAGTCCAACATAAGTTAAGCTATGGTGTACATTCTTGTCTTAAAACCTTATTGATGACAATTTCTACTGTACCGTACTCATTACTGTTACAATTTTCAGATATTCGAAAACACTCATTAATAGGTTATATATTTATATTACATTATATAATAGATGTACCCTCGTTAAAAACAAAAAGATCATGTTCGAGTGACATTTATTTAGCAATAAATGACATTTTGTAGGTGCAGGGGAGGCTTATGAAAATACGGTAGCTGCTTTTCGTCGGTAAGTAAAAAAGTGGTTAGTTTTATTGAATTTGTATTAGGTCTAATGGTAATCAAAGTGAGCAGCCAAAAACAAATAGGTAAATTTTATTTTTAGTTCCTACGATTGATTGATTGATTGTATGTAAGAGGGTGGACTCATGGTCCACGCACGTCAACCGAAGCTTATTGTGCATCCCACTTGCCACTAACTGGGTAAGCCTATGCCTGTGTCCTTGACTAGGGGAAGGAGTTTTGCCCAATGTTAGCGTCTGGTTTATCACCTGGCTGCTTTAGACCAAAACAGAGCCCTTCTCCTAGCCCGTAGTCCATCGCAGTCCAGAATAATGTGTTTTGCAGTCTCATCGGACTGGTTACAAAGTCGACACTCCTGCTTGTTATTGACGATTCCTAGAGTGTGGAGATGTTTCCTGAAATGGCCGTGTCCAGTGATAAGAGCAAGTACCTGCTTGACCTGCCCTCTCCCCAGCTTTAGCAGCCAGCGAGTGAAGTGGGTGCTAGGATCAGAGAGCAGTTTTTTGCCAAGTAATTGTCCAAGACAATTACAACGCTCAAGGTTAGGCAACAGTCTACATCATATCACATGAACAGCCAGCTGCAAGGAGAAGACTGTGGAGGGGGCTTTCCCACTCTGACTTCTTCGAGAAGCTGCAATCATCTATTGCTGCAGAGTACAGTGATGCCACTCAACCCTCATGTTCGCTTTCCCAGGAGACTACGGATGTACACCTCTCAACCCTGAAGAAAAATCTACAAGAAGGAAAGAATTGTTCCAGCCCAGCCCTACAACAGAATCTCCTTAACCATGGAGTTGCTCCAGATCATCTAGAGTCCAGCTGTGAGGAATCAAGATCAAGCTCATCAGTGAAAGTGATGAATGTAGCAGAGCAGTGCAATGTTTTACCTTACCCAGATGCAAGTGTCTGTGCTATGGCTTCTGTTGTGAGTGTTGATGTTGGTCAAAATCAGAATGAGGTGCCCTCATCTTTAAACTCAAAAATCAGCCAATTATTGGATCCAATGTAAATAGTAATACAACTCACTGTTTTCAGACATCTATTGTAAATAATATTTTTTGTAGTAGGGTAGAAAGTACTTTTAACAATGAGAATTCTTTATTGAAACTTCAGAGATCAGTTCATGATATGTTTATGCATATGAACATTCAAGGCTTAAATCCAGGTAAAGTGGCTGATTTAAATATGTTTCTATCACAGTTTGGACGTAAAATTAAGATTTTTGCACTAAATGAGCATTGGATCAATGAGGACTCATTTAATATTTTTAACACCTTTGATAATTTTAATTTGGGAAATGTGTTTATAAGAAAAAATAATAAAAAAAGAGGAGGTTCTTGTATATTAGTGCATAAAGAATTTAACTTTAAAACAAGAGCAGACCTGGAAGTATTAAATGAGGATTTCATTTTTGAAGGTTCATTTGTTGAAATTGTGGAAATGAATTTACTAGTGGTATCAATTTATACAGTTCCAGAATATAACATAAGAAAGCTTTTCCTCACTAAACTAGAACTTTTAATGAATCAATTAAAAAATGAAAACAAAACTAAATCTATCATACTGGCCTCTGATTTCAATATAGATATTCTCAAAAGTAACAACTTAATTTCAAAATTCTATGACATTATTGAATGTAATGGATTTAATCTAAACTTCAATGAACCAACAAGAATATCAGGTAACTCTCGCACTTGCATTGATAACATTGCGACTCAAACAAAACTCAAGGTTATCTGTAAATATAATATTGGTCTTTGTGTATCTGACCATAATGCACTGTTTATAAATCTACCTAACAAATTGATAAATGACAACAACAAAAAGGTTTTTTATAAAAGAACTTTTAGTGAAAATGCTATGAACGAATATGTAAAAACTTTTGAAATTGACAAAAGTCAATTATGTTTGGATAATTGTAATGTTAATGATAGTTACAACCATTTTTTGAGTTATTTTATAGGGCAGTTGAATCATTATTTCCCACTAAAGGCTGTAAAAAAGAAATCTAAGATAAAAACTGTTATATTGGATTGGGTAACAACAGGTATCAAGGTTTCTAGCAAAAGAAAGCGTGAGTTGCATTGGCAAGCCAAAACCAGTACAGACCCAATTTTTCTTAACTATGTTAAGTCTTATAAAAAGATATTTCGTAAAGTTGTAAACAGTTCTAAAAAAAGGTCTAACAGCAAATATATAAATAATGCATTAAATAAACCAAAAGCTATGTGGAAAGTTGTAAATAACGAATTAGGCATTAGAAAAGAGGATAGTTGTGGCAATCATATTTCATTAAAAGTCTCTAATAATGAATTAATTGAAGACCAAAATGTTGTTGCCAAAACTTTTAATTCTTTTTTTTTAAATGTTGTTAATAGCTTAAACTTGCCAAATCCTATTGTAAAGGGTGTCCATCCAAATATGAAAATATCTGTGGATATAAAGGGGTGTTCACTGTACAACTTTGAACCAACCAACAAAAATGAAATTTTAAAAATAATATTTTCTTTGAAAAATAAGACATCGGTGGGTTGGGATGAAGTTCCCATTTCACTCATCAAAGCAGTAGCAAATAAAATTGCTGAACCCCTCTCAGATATAATTAATAAATGTTTTGAATGTGGTATTTTCCCGGAAAAATTGAAATACTCTCATATTACTCCGATATACAAAAAAGGGGCTAGAACCGATATAAATAACTACCGCCCAATATCTGTTTTAAGTAATTTTTCAAAGATATTTGAAAAAGTTATCAATTTCCGGCTAGTAAACTATTTTAACAGCAATGATTTGTTTTATGAAAAACAGTTTGGGTTTAGAAAGACATTCAGCACCAACAGTGCACTGATTGAATTTATCAATGATGTTACAAGGGCTTTGGACAGGTCTGAAACTACTGCTGGTGTTTTCTGTGACCTGTCTAAGGCCTTTGACTGTGTGGATCATTCAATTTTGCTTTCTAAATTAAAAGACTACGGTATAAAGGGTAAAAGTTTTTCTTTATTAGACTCGTATTTACAGAACAGAAAGTATAGAACAATAGTGACCAAAAACGGTGTGAAACATATGTCAAACTGGAATTTATCTAATTATGGTGTACCTCAAGGGTCAATATTGGGCCCTCTGTTTTTCCTGATCTTTATTAATGACCTTCCAAAAGCTATTGGCAGAGATTTAATCTTATTTGCTGATGATACAACAGCAATCATAAGAGAGGATTCAGTAAATAACTTAATTGTATCAATTGAAAACACTTTGGATTGTATGAAAAATTGGTTTACAGATAATGGTTTAAAGCTGAATATTGACAAAACTCATATAATTAAATTTTCTTTAAAAAAACAATGTAATTCTTGATAAAATTCCAAATTTAGTAGAATCTCATAGATTTTTGGGTGTATTGCTTGATACTCATATTAATTGGAAGATTCACATAGATAAGATGAAAGGCAAACTAAGATCTATTTCTTTTGCTTTCTTTCACCTGATAAACTGTGTACCTCAGGATACATGTATCACAGTTTACTATGGATACGTTGAATCCATCTTGAGGTATGGAATCATACTGTGGGGAGTGTCAACAGAAGTCAAATCCCTACTAATTTTACAGAAAAAAATTATTAGAATCTTAACCAAATCAAGAAGGAGAAAATCATGTAAAAACCTGTTTAAAAATCTTAGAATTCACACCATTTTTGGATTATACATAAATGAAATTCTAAATTGGATACATAACACTAAGGAAAATTTGTCAGATGCAGTCAAATTTACACATAATTATAATACAAGGAATAAATATAATTTTAGATTACCACATCACAAATTGACGACTTTTAGGAACAGCCCTCAATATATGGGACTTAGATTGTACAATGAATTACCCCTGTATCTTAAAAATTTAAATGCTACTCAATTCAAAGATAAAATAAAAGATAAAATAATTGAGAAAGCCTACTATTCACTTGACGAATTTTTGGAGAACCCTATAATGTAGATAAAAATTCTCTGATATCCTACATGAGTTTATTTTAATTATTTTAACTATTAATTTTACTATATAATACATCACTATGACGAAACACCTGTTCTTATGTATGAAATGTTCTTTATAAAGAACGTATTGTGTAAATAAAATATGTCTTATGTCTTAAGGTGTTGTCCACTAGACCATTTGTTGATTACATGTTTAGCGGCAGCTTTGCTGATGCCACAAAATCAATTATCAATTATCAATTAGTTAATGGCTCTGGTCCAAAGAATGGCATGCTCGCGCTTTTTTTTGCCAGTTTGCACTCTCGTTTCCGCCAATGCCTACATGGCCTGGGACCCAGCCGAGAGTTACAGAGCTCTGTGATGCAAGTCTGCAGAGGGTGTTGAAACACTCCCAGACCAGTTTTGAGGTAACTTCATTTGAGTCAAGAGCTTTTTAGAGCAGCCTGACAATCACATAAAATCACTATCCTTCTGTCTTGGTACCGTCTGGCTAGTCCTAGGTTGGCACAAGCCAAGATGCCATAGATTTCTGCCTGGAAGATGGTACAGTATCGTCCCAGACTTCCTGAAAGTTCTGTTCTGTTCTACCAAATTTAATCAAAATCGGATCATTTTTGCTCGAGTTATCGTGCTGACGGACACACACACACACACACATATATATATATATATATATATATATATATATATATACAGGGTTAGTAAAAAGTGTGGAGACCCCCTGTTATTTTTTTAACGGCCCATACTAGAAAAACTAAACTTGGCACACCATTATGGCATGTTATGAAGTACTTTTTGGGCATAACCGCCACTTGGTGTTCATCCCCAAAATGGGGGATTTTGGGGGAAACTCAAAAGTTTCAAATACAAAGACCCATCAAGTGACCCCTCATTTTTAAGGTCCTTGTAAAAGAAAACCAACTACGCAAACTAGAGGTCTTTATCTCAATCAAGTAAAAAATGGCAGCCAATTGAAATTCTCAGAAGTTAA